AGGCGGGGGGAACGGCACCGTGATGGGATGGGGATGGGGGCACGGCGGGATCCGCGGCCGTCCGAGCGGAGCGGTAGGTGACCTTGAGGCGCCGGCCGGCAGTAGAGAGGGAGAGAAGGAGCCCGGTGCAGCCACCCCTCCCGAGCCCCACTGGGAGCGGAGCGGCCGCCCGGCGCTGTCGGGGAAAGCTACAGCTCTCAGCCTCGCCGAGGGGTCGTCAGGCTGGCTTCGGTCCCAGCTGGACAGCTGATGGCCAGGTGAGGGATTCCGTGGGTTTTCCTATCCTCGGGATGAAGCGGAAGAACCAGGAGCACTTTGCATGCGTCCTGTCTGTTTTTCCTAATCTGTGGGCACCCGGCTGGTCCGGAGAAGTGGGGTAGTAGTAGACAAGCAGTGCTAATGCTGGCACTCAGGGGGATACTTTAGGTTGGCCAGGATCTTCCCTGCTGTGATCTGCCCCGAGCCCAAAGGTTCTCAGCTAGCTGTTGCAGGGCAAACTGTAGTTTATTTCTCCACAGAGCTAACCTGCTTGGTTACAGGGATGAGTGGAAAAGTCACTTCAGACCCTCGATCTAAACTCACAGTGGGGACACACACAGAGTTTGGGAAGGGTACATACTTGTCAAGGTCTGGATATTGCAGGTACAGCCCAGCTTCCTTGATAGTCAGGAAATCAGGTATTTCTGCAGGTAGTTCCCCAGACCCAAAGTGGAGAGAAGCATAAGCTGGAGAATTTGCTGGAAACTTCTCTTTTCCTGAGCTCTGAGGCTCAGCCTTGGCAATGGTTGGCATGCTGTTGTCCACTATTGCCTGGGATGAGGAAGGAACAATGTGTAGGCCTGATGGTCTCACACAAGGAGATGCATCCGAGGGGAATTGCCAACCCCTGCTTCTTATGGGAATAGATGTGATGGCTGGAGGTGCTGCTGAAGAAGCTCATCTTCAAAAGAGGATGGGGATGTGTTTCCTCTCGCCTTTCCCCTGTTTCCATGGAAACAGCAGCAAGCAGGAGCAGCCTGCTTGGAATTTCACTGCCTACCTCTCAGCCACCCCCTGCCCAATCATGCCGGCAGATTTTGGCTCTTGAGGGTTTCAGATCCACCCTCACGTGGTTGATCCCATGCCTCCAAGGAGGGCTCACCCATGCATGTATGTCATGGCAGAGCAAGGCAGACAGGCACAAGCCCAGAGCTGCCACAATTCCTGTAGCAGCACTGAATGTTATACCATGCACGCTAATAGACAGTTGGAAATAAATTGCATTCCTATATGGATTTCTGCTTTTTATAGGATGTAAGAAGATAGACGAAAAGGTGCCTGAGGGATGATTGCCCTCCAGAAACAGCACTGGTTTTATCTCAAATATGTGAATATCACACAAAAAGAGCAAAGCAGAAGGGTGAAGAAGGGTGAAAGGTAGTACAAGTTTATGTCTTTGCATTTAATAGCCAATGGTGTCTTTTTCTCCAAGGAATTTGTCCATTCACTTCTGAATTTGTTTTGATTTTGGACTTGTAGATGCTTCATGCATTCTGTGACAAGGAGTTTCACAGCACACCCACAGACTCAAGGAGCTTCTTTTGATATGCCCATTCTGGGCTTTTTATCCACCAGGACTAACCCTTGAGAACCAGGCTGCTGCCACCCTTATGGAGCTACCCACAATGTCATTTATCCTCCACAGGTGGAGTTGGTGGCTACTGGTGAGCCAGAGGTAGAGTTTTTTTGTGTCAAGCATCCTTGATATTGGTCCTGGCAACATATCTTGGAGACAACACTGTCAAACACATCACCAGCTGTGCTATTTTTGAGATGAGGTGGCACAAAAGAGGTTGTGTGCCCTGCTTTGTCTGAACCAAAGCTGTATAAGTTCTCAGCCACTTTCTGAGGAAAATGGTCACGTGTTTTTGACCTTCGGGCAGGAACCCAAAGGCATGGCTGATAATGTATAACAAAGGGCACAGGACTCCCAGGAATGGGAGAAATAAGACTGTGTGATGCTTAGGCCTTTCAGAAACTAAAGCAAGATAGACAGCATCCTAGATTGTGTTCTGTGTCATCAGAGGGAGAGCTCAGATGTTGTAATTAAAACACACTACCTGATCCACTCAACCCTCCTTCTCTTGGGGGCGAGAGTAAAAAAAATATGTGAGATTTCCCTCCAGTTATTCCTGTAAGTTTCAGGATGCTCTACTGGAAAATCATCTTGGAGAGCAGGACATTTCTGTGATGGAGGCCTTTCTTTTGTCTGATGTGACAAAATGTGAAAGAAGCAGGGAGGATTTTAAGAAGACACAGCAAATGCAGTAGAGGTGGTGCCCTTACCAATAGGTTTCTTCTCCTGTATCTGCCACCCTGCAGAGACATTCATATCTGTTCCAAGCAAGCATAAAGCATGACATCATATTAGGAGGATTTGTTTACTTTCCATAATGCATCAAACTGCAAAAGGTCTCACTCTTCTGTCTCTGGTAGTTACAGAAAATAGCCTTTTAGATCCTTATGTTATTAGCTCTTATTCATGCAGCAAATTTGCGTTCAATTTCTAGAAAAAAATTTTGACAGAGGCTGCATTTTAAACCAGATGGCCATAGATAACCTATCCTTGTACTGGTATTTGTAGCCTAAATATAAAAATGGATTTTACAGCATCATATATAAATATATCATTGTGTTTAGCTTTTTTTCCCCAATGGACCAAGTGTGATCAAAACTCAGTCTTTTGTTCCAAAGCAATCAGTGATTCCTAGCAGTGTGCTGCTTTTTGTCTCTTAAGAACATGTGTGGCAGAGAATCCCCTCGTGTTAGGATGCAGGATTTTCTGTGCTCAGAAATTAATGCCTGCTCAATTTAGAAATTTCAAGGATACTTTGTGCTGGCTGCCTGAGACTTCCAGAATGTGTCACTCCAATTAAATTATTCCTTATTAATGCAACAAGGGGAGTGTGGATGAAGGAACGTGCCTCTTGCTCCAGTTAAACAACATCCCTTTGCCCCTGCTGGTCAGTGGTGTTGACTGTCTGGGTGCCATCTATCTCTGCAAGCTTTGTCCTCAAGGAAATGTGTGCCATTAGTTATGTTTTTGTCTGCTACACTCAGACTTCATGTCTGCTGGGAAGAAATCCAGGTGTGCCTTTTTTTATTGTGGGAAGGAAACCCCCAAGGGTCATTAATTTGTGACTGGGGAGCTCATTTCTGTTTAGCATCCCTAACAGGGGTACACATCACGACTGCAGTCCCCAAACATTCAAAATCTTAAACCTCATGAAGTAGATGGGTTTGTAGCTGCCGCTCTGGGGCACATTTCACTGAATAGAATTGCTGTCATTGAAAAGTCTTTGATCCCCACTCTGATCCTTTTCCAACAGGCTGCCTGTATAGGGTTTGTTTATTTTCCATCCAGCCTCATGAGAGTTTGTCATCATCACAGTTTTGTGAGGCTCCACAGAGGTTTCTGGGTCAGGTTAAATCACTTTCCTCTCTGCAGTAGCCCAGCAGGATACCCAGGGCCCTCCCTCATATCCCCGTTAGAAATGAAAAGTAGATTCAGCACTGCCCAGATGCTGTTTGACAGTCCTCAGGACATTTTGTCCGATATAACTCCAGAGCAGCAGCAACTGCCCCATGTGCCTGGAAACTGAGCCAAATCCTCCCTTGCTAAATGCTTTGTTCTCACTTAAATTTTTGGCCCATCACACCCAGAAAGGAATAAACTACAGAAACTAATGGCTCAGAGAATTTAGTGTATCTCTAGCTATGGTCCTAGGAGTCACCTCCCTAAAAGCAGAAAATATGTTTCTGTTGCAGTTTGCCTTCCCCATACTGAAGGGTTGGAGTTGACATACCCTGATCTGGAGAAGCATTCCTGCCCCACCAAGCTCTCCCCATGGACCTGGCAGGCAGAAAAATCACTCTTCTAGGGAAGGGGCTAAAACCCACTGCATGCTTAGGGGTCATTGTATAGGCCAGGTCTGTCAGTCTGGCCAAGGTCCTGGGGAATGGCTGCAACCCTACTTTCTGTGTGCCCCATCACCTGGGCAACACAGACTTGGTCATCACTTTTTCATGGTGTCAGAACTGCTCTGTCCAGTGGGATGGCCACCTGTTCCTGCTCAGCACCTGAATATTTCAAACACCTCACTCACCCCCACCTCCCCACCCTGCCACCCTGCTCACCCTTCTCTCCCAGCCCCTGCCTGGGCTCCTCACTTGTTTTCAGCAGTGTGACTCCACCAGGCCTGTTCCCAACTCACTCTGATGCAAAACAAGCCCTAATTCAGTCTGGGAGGCAGCTGGGAGGTTTAATTGTCCCAGAGTAGAGTGCGGAGCCAAGGTTGCATGAGCAATACCTTGCCACTCAGAGCACTGCTAGGAGACAAGGACTGGGCTAGTGGGGGTGCAAGGCTGCAGTGAGGGGCTGAGGTGACACAGAAAGCAACTCAAGCAGAATAAACTGAAAAATGGAAGTTAACCCATTCTCCCTTCTACCAGCCATCAGGCCCAGTGCAGCAATGCTGAAGCCCAGAACCAGCACTGGCAGCATCTGTCTTGCACTCTCTGGCAAGGTGAGCTGAGGGATGATTAGGTAGATTGAGGATTTTGTTTTGTCTTGGGTAGTCTCTGCCAGATGAACTGTACTCAGAGAGTCATGAATAAATGATAGTCCAGCAATGGAGCACTGTCTTCCACAGCTAATCCTTGGGGAGGGAGGAGTATTCTTCATTATAGTGATGTGGCCTGACAGAGGTTATCAGAGCCACCCTCTGAAGTGAGTCTGTCTCATCACTAGCTATAAAGAGAGCCCCGGGTGACAAGATTTCAAGGGCACAGTTTCACCATCTATTTAAGCATGGTTTTATTATCAGTTCTCCAAGACCATCTGCCACTCCCTCCCCATTCATAACCATGTCTGCTATCTCCTTTGGGAGAGCTCTGAGCACACACACGTAAATACATACCAGCCATTCATTTGCCTAGACTCGAGCAGAGAGCATTGCTGCTGCAGCCACCAGTCTGACAGGAATTACACAAGAGGGATATTATTTAGAATAAAGTTTTGTTAAAATATCTAGGGGTTTTGCTCATTCACTTTGTAAGGCCAAGGATTTTTATTGCATCTTTATACCAATCATGTTCTGTTTGTGGGAATGAAAGCCGTGGCTGAGAGTGGAGTGAGTTAGGTGTGATCCCCATTCAAAGAATTAACTAATCCTCTTGTCCAACTTCCTACACATCACACACACACATACACACAGTGAACAACAGAAGGAGGTAGAAACTTCCCTGCTCACTGTGAGACTCTGAGCAACAGTGGCAATCTTCTCAGGAAGGGCGTTAACTGGGCAACTTGCTGACCACCTACCACATGTAGACAAACCTGATCTGCTCTGGGTTGTGTCACCAAATGGCACAATGGCTCCCATATATTACAGGAGTGTACAGTGGAAGTATGAGAGGCATCCAGCACAGACTGCAAGGAGAAAAATTCTGGCTGGAAATAATCCCTTACTGAAAAAGCAAGCAGATGCCCAAAGCAAGCAGATGCCCAGAGCAGCATCCCTGGAGAGATTCAAAGTGACCCTGCAACTTCAGCCAGACTTACCAGGAGAGGGCAGCCAGTGCTTTCTGGGCTGACTACCCCAGAAAATGGGTACCCAAGTAGGACCTGCTTTGCATTGCTCTGTTGGAAAGCTTGGCCTTGCTTCTGGGCATATAATCTTGAAAAGTCATGTTCCTTGTTTCCTTTATTGGGGCAGAAAGTGAAGTGACCCAGTTTGGTGCACTACAGAACCAGATTTGCTGTCAGATATATAGAACCAGTCAGAGCAGAGAGTCTGTTGTCTTTCCTGCAACTTTCATCACTCTTCCAAGGCTTCTGCTTCCCTTGAACACCCAGCTCGCAGGCTGAAGCTGGAGCTCCAGACAGAGGTTTAGATTGTTGCTTGGGGTGCCCAGCAACATCTCTGGCAGGGAGAATGCAGAAGGAGCTTCCTCAAATGGCAATCTAGCACCTTTCTTATATACTCAGCACTTTTGATTCTGGAGATGAGGGAAAAGGGCTGCATCCCCAGGGGATGGGGCAGCTCAGTGCTAATGTGAGATGAAAGCTGTGCAGTGGACAGTCTGCATGGGGAGAAGGTAGAACCAACCATGTTGCCTGGTGTGAATTATTGTGATAACTGCTTATCCCAATTTCAGGTAACCCATGTTGCTTACAAATTACAGCTGGTAATTAAAGAACCATTATTTTTTCCCAGACCAGACACAGACTGGGTATAATTTCCCTTTCTTCATCTCTCTCAGCTTCATTTCACCTTTTTTACCCATTTAACAGCTCAAAGAACTGAGAAGATGCTGGTGCCAGGCCAGGCCTTCATTTCAGTGAGTCAGTCAGAGGGCTGTGCTTGGGGATAGGACATTATCAGGGACAATACGCGGAGTCTGAGTAGCCTAGGGATTCCTTCCCATGTCCGCGCTCTGACCTGTTGCTCCTGGCAGCGCAGTGTGGTGGCAGAGCCCTGGTCCCTTGGAGAGTGTGTGCTGACACTGACCTCTAGTGGGAATAGATCCCTTCCTCTTTTGATTTTCCCTGCAGTTCTAACCATTTAAAGTGACACATATTAAAGGGGACTGGAGAGAGCCAAGAATCAGAGCTTCATTTTTAAAACCTTCAGAATTAAATCAGAACATCAAGATTTGCCTCATATTATATTTAATCATTTTTAACCCCTCTACCATTGCCTTTAATACATTACATACAGATATTTATGCATATGTATAGCTCTCTGTGTTTAAAGCCTCTGAAAAAAATGGAAGTCAAAAACTTGCACGGCCAGGCAGAAAAGTTCTATTTTAGGAAAACAGCATGAGAGGGAGCCCAAGCCTTGAAGAATAATTAACAGAAGACAAATAATGGGGCAAAGTGGCCAAATTCCTCTTTCAGACTTTCCATAAAATTGTCCGAAAGGTTAATAGAAGCACACCAAGTCAGAAGAGAGGTGGCAGGAGATGGTGCCTGAGCTGGGTGTTAGTTGAAAGGTCAGAGCAGAGAGTGGCTGGCCATGGATGCCTGGAGGGCATCATAGCTGATGTTAATGGGGTGTGCCTGGTCTCTCCACTCAGCTGCAACATACCATGCCACATTACTAGCCAGCTCAAAAGAGTTCAAGACTCACCTCAACGAAGCTACAAGGTCACAAAGTCCAGCTAAAGTCACATCAGCAGCAGAGGAAGGCTACTTCCAGGGGCTACTTGATAGCCAGAGGTGTAGAGAGCTTGCAGTGGACTGGACTGTAGAGTCCCCAGTGGTGGTTCTTGAATTGCCTCTTTGCTAGAGCTGGTCCAGGGCTTACTGCTCCAGGTTCTGTGCTTTGGCTGAACTGTTCCTGGACATGTGCTAGTCCTGGAATCAGGATCCAACTGATCCTATTCACCTATTTACCTTCACCTATTTCCCAACTGTAACAGCAGATCGCAGTATAATCAAGGTGTGACTGATAGTTTATGCAAAGATCAGCTGCAACTAGTTTGCCGCGGCAGTGTCGATGACAGGGGTGCCGCGACTACCTGAAGAAGCTGTCTTGAAAAGGACTGCCCAGGGGCACAGGCACATCCTCTGCCCGGCGAGTGACTTCAGCTCAGCGGCAGCGTGCAGGTAACACAGAGAGAGAGACTGGAGCCCTGTATGGAATTCCACTGAGAAACAGCCTTTATTATAGCAGGGCCCTCAGTGAAGGGAGCCAGTGACAGCAGCTTCCTGAACAAAGGAAAAACTGGGATATTTATAGGGAGAGGGGTGGGGGAAACTTGGATACATGTATCGGGGTGGATTGATAGGGAGGGAAACCAATGGGGTGTAAAGAATTAACACGTTCAACTCAAAGGCCTCTGGGAGTGACACTTGTTCTCTGCATGACATAAAAGTGTCTCGCCTAGGGAGTTCACCAGGGGAGAGTGACAAACTCTGAACTGACAGGTTGCCCGACCTCCACGCTAGTTCACAAAAAAAATTCAATCGTTGTTATGAGCACGCAAGTTTGTGTTGATTTGACCATTTTTTCCATAAGAAGGTGTACAAAGAACCATTCCACGATTGGAGCTGCATCTAGTATGGTACTAGAGAAAATGGCAAAAGCGTTTAGGAAGGCAATTGATGGATAACCTAGTAGTAGTTGGGTATGGAAAGCTGAAAGAATAGAAATTCTGTGTAGGAAGCAGGAACAGCTACAGGTGAAGCTGGGATGCAGCCGCCAGCAGGGTGTGAGAGGGACTGACATAGATATGTGGCCCAGATCCCCACACTTCACTGGACAGAGTTGACAGACATGGGAGAAGCTGCTTTCCCTTAATAATTGTAATCTTGCAGTGACACAGTGCCAGAGATGCAACTGGAGAGACTGAACCAGATCCTGAGCATGGGAGGAAAACTTGTGACTGGAAGTCATTGATGCCAAAAGAGACTTTTCTGTCTTCCGGCCGCTGCCCTCACACCCCAAAACCTTTCTTCCTACAAACCCAAAGCAACAGCTGCAGTGTGGGATAGGGAAATATTTGTCACTCTGCGTGTGGTTCCTGTGAGTCCATCACCACTATCCATCACCAAGCTCTTCCCAAGTAAGCTATCTTGCAGGAGAATGTTCCCCTCCTGCTCAGATGAACTGGAAGAATGGGCATCCTGCAAACAGAAAGTCATCTCAAGCAACAAAAGCAAGAAGTGAAACTCATTTTAAATTGTCAGCTGTGTTCAGAGCTATCTAGTTTGTCTTTTGAAGAAAGCCCACTGCTTGGGACACTGGAAAGTAATTACATGATGTCTATGCAGATCCGTAAGTGTTTTGGCATTGGGAGGAGAGCACTGAAATACAGTCTTGTCAATCATTCACAGGCAGTGATCTGGGCCTTTTATTTTCAGCTTTGATCTCTGTGGCTTGGCTGCTCTTGTGTGAGCCCTGGTAGCCACTCTGGGCTTTGAAAGGATTTCTATTTGCAACACAGAAGGGTGGTGGGAAGCAGCTGGACCAAGAGGCTTGTGCAGCCAGCTACAGTGACCTCCTAGCATTTTCTATAAAGGCAGAACGGATGAGAAGGTGTTTTAGTGGGTGGAACAGTTTAATGTATGCACATGGGAAAAGCAAGCGCCTTGTTTGCACCTCTGCTACAAGTGACATCCACCATATTGTTTCCCACAGAGCCTGTGTCTTCCTTCAGCACCTGCACACGCATCAGCATCCTCACCCACACACTGCCTGCTTGGACAGAGTCCCTCTCCCTCCCCTGGCAGACCTGCGTGCTATTTAAAGAACCCAAACCAACCGGGCAGGAGACAAGGCAAGCCCAGGACAGACCGGCATGTCTTGCTCGGCCGAGGGAAGTAGTGTGTAGCCACCTCCCTCCCCTCAGCACCCCGGGTGCCGGCCCTCGTCCACGCTGCCGCGGCCACCGGAACTTTCCTCCCTCTCGGTGCTTCCGTGGTTTCCCCAGACAGAGGGCGGGGAGAGGCAGCCCGTGGTAGTGCCGGGGCGGGGCGGCGGCCGGGGAATCCCGGGCAGGCGGGCCGGGCGCGGCT